CGGAAGAGGTACATAATCTAATCTAGTTTATTATAATTAGATCTATTGTTTTCTTGTAAAGAAATCAACTTTTCATGTTAAATTAATAAAGTTAAGGTGAGGATGTCATAGCGTTATCTTACTTTTAGTAAAAAATTTTAAAAGTATCTCTATGGCGGATGTTAACAGGGAAAACATTGAATTGCATAAGCAGTCTAAAGAAGTTAAAGCACTATTAGATAAAATGCTAGGTATATCTAGTGACCACTTGATTATCGTATAATTGATAACTGCATATAGAGTCCTCATCTTGTACAAATGACTGTTAAAAAATAATGAAGAATGTTGATGAGGAATTAGTACCTGAATTCACATCATCATCATACCAATCATATGACGATGATGATCAATTTTTTAGAGATTTCCTTTTGCTTTGGAAATCTCCTAGAGATGAATTTATTGCCAATTATCCCAACATAGAAAGGACTACAACAAATGAGTATATCATTCTGTATCTACTACTTGTGTAAATTATCAGTTATAATTCTATAGAATAGTGGTATTTACAAGAGACTTATAAGGAAAGTTGTGAAGAATGAACCTACTTTAAGGCAGTTATATCTAGGAGAGTGTCAGAGTTCTTTCATTTATAATAAGAAAGACTTTCTACTGAATTTATATCTATGCACAAAATGGCTGCTCTTCGTCCCCGGCATCACCCATACCTTATTTATATATAATCACTAATTTAAACACATTATAACTACCTGAAGTATTGAGCAAAGCAGAAGAACTACTAGTATCATGTGATAGAGCCTCAGAATGATTCTCTTTTTAAACTAAATCAGCGTGTAAATGAGACAGCAATTCCAGCGCCTTCTTTTAGTGCCTAAAGACCCCTCAATTCGATCAAGCCTAACTAGAACTGGTCCTTGTCTTCTTTAACAGTAAAATAGAAGTCCACTTGGTACCAAACCCCTTTTTTCCTGCATTTTTCCTTGAAGAAGCAACACCATCTACAGCCGACATTTTTACATGTGAATAAAACGGAAGCCACCATGCCCAGGGCCCCGCCTTTTATACTGCACCTTCTCATTTAATCTTATGTGGGGTTCACAGGCCCTTTCCAGCTGTCACACCTAGAAAATGAGACAGGCCGCACTGCCTACTAGGAAGTGTGGCCAATGTATGGGCCCCGCTTTAGTCCCACCCCCTGGACTGTATGGGCCTCGTACAGGAGGCTGCTGTACGATAGAGTGTCCCAAATTTCTCCCCAGGAGGGGCTGCAGCCCTCCCGGGGCTCTGGTCATATCTCTCTGTTCATATTTGCCCCCGTGATGGTCCCACAAGCACCAGCATGAGGGATCAGCCTCACCCTTGGGTGAGGTCACTACTGGAGGGAGGCGATGGCCCGGAGACAGGTATCGAGGGGGCAGAGCCTCCGAGGTGCCCAAATCCACCCACAACTTTCTTATTCTCTTCCCTTTCAACTTCTCCCCTTAAAAATATAATTACTAGGACAATAAAGGAAAAGGGGGTGTAATGGGGGGGGGGGGGAGAGGATGGGACAGGCGGTAGTGATAGAGTAACAGTCGAGTTGTAGAAAGAGAGAGGGAGAGGAAAAGGGGGGTAAGGATGACAGAGGTAATACACAATTCAATTAAGGGACATAGCAAGACAGGATTGTAAGAGCAGAAATGAAAACAGAATTAATATAGATGAAAGAGACAGAGATAGATTCGGGGTCATAATGATAATGCAAATCTAGATGAGAGAGGCAGGGTAGGCCGTATGCCTCAGGGACAACACAGCTGCTTCAATGCATCACCTGATGTGACCCCCA